AGTTCCGGTTCCGCGATGATTGCTGGGAGGGGGGCTGAGATTTGGACTCAGCGCTCAAAGACGAGATGCAAGTGGTGGCTTCCTTTCGGGAATCCCGATTGGCAGGCGCCCTGAGAAATGGAAAGCCATAAGCGATGGTTTGGGGTCATTCTGCTCGAGGGGCCCTGAGAAATGGCTGATCCCAAGATAGGCCCAACTGGCTGGTGGTGTCCATTATTCGGGAAAATCCCCACAACTCCTTTATTCGGGAAAGTTCCTTTATTCTTTATTCGAGCGTCCTTTGAGTCCATTCCACTTCTCAGTCCTTACTTATCGCACCAGCAAATTTCTGGGGCAACTCTGACCACAGATGGCGATGTTACGAAAAACAACATCCCACGCCCAGGGGACTTGCATCCAGGTTTCCCATGTCCTTTGGGGAAACCTTGGTTGCTTTGACCGTGGCTATGCCGGCCAACGTTTGGTATGTGTGCTTTTTTTGGCTGCTATCTGGATGTTCAATCCATGTTGCAATGCTTATTGTCCACGGAGGTCGATCTAGAACCCTGGTGACCAACCTTTGCCAGGAACATTCATGTAAGATATTTTTCAAACCCGCGGGGGGTTGGTCGCCCGAATGGGCAGTTATCACCCCTAAAAGGAGGGGTAATTTTCTACATGTGGTGAAGTGTTTCCGGGGTAAATTCGACAGGGAAACCAAGCGAAGGCCGAAAATGGCATAACCCGACTTTGGCGCATACCCAAATTGCATGGCTATAACCTGCTAAACCCGTGCCGTGTTGTTTTATTTCTATTTTGTTATGCGAGGTCTCAGCAGCAACAGCACGGAGAACGAGGCTGGGGGGGGGGTTGACATGGGCAAAGCTGGAGCGGCAGGTGGGTCAGGTGTGTTGGGGGGGTTCTTTTTGAGGTGTGTGTGTGTGTCAGCGGGCAGTAGGTGAAGCAAGCGTTCTTTTTTTGGGTTCTGGGTCTGTCTTTTTTGGAGAGTATGCGTTTTAAAGGAGACCAAACGCAGAATCGACAGGGTCCTTTAGTTATCTATCCAACACACATGGTTTATGTTCGGAGGTGTGTCACTGCTTTGTTGTTGTTCCCTCGTTTTTTCTTGTTTATTTTGGCGGGGGGTGGCTGGGAATGTGTGTTTTTGTTTGCTTAGCACCGTCCATGGGGAAGGCCGGGTGCAGCAATCAAGGGTGCCTTTTGCCTCCGCAGAGGTGACGCGGAAGTCCATCACCCAGTTCAAAGATGAGCTGGAACAGGCGCGTTGTCTGGGCCTGTCCCAGTTGCTCAGTGCCTAGAGTCTCCATGACCCCTTCAAAATGGGGTCATTGCCCAAAATTAAGGGGTCATGGACCCATTTTTTAAGGGTCATGGAGACTCTAGGTGGTGCCAACTTTTTTCCCTTTTTGGGGGCCACTGGGCATCTGAGTTTTCGGGGGCCTTTTCGGAGTCGAGCCTAGGTCCCCCAGCTAGGTGCCCTTTCTCACCCCTTTTTATGGTTGGGAGGGTTCCCCTACTAAAATAGACAACCGAAAAAAGTTGACACCCTTATTCTATCCTCCCTACTGGAGGACCTAGTAATGTTGGCCCCGGATGAATACACCCCGGCTAATATATTAATATGGGGACGTCAATCAACCTGGACTTTGGGAGGGATGCAGCGCCACTTTTTTGGAGGGGCGCAAGGGGTTCGCTCGTCCGGGGTCAACATGTGCCCATGTGAACCACTCTCTGACTTTGGGAGGCCCATACTGTGGATGGACGAGATCCATTTCGCACCGTTCAGACTCAGACACCCGGGTTCAAATTTCAGTTGTTTGCTCCCCTTCCAACGTCAACCAAGGGCTTCTGATATGATCCCCCTTCAAATAACAGCACTGCTTTCCAACGGTGTCAAAGTGTTGCAGGTGTTCATCCATCCACAGTACGGGTGTGTATATTTTTGAGGGAGGAACACCAAGCCTCTTTAGAGAATCCCCTTGTGGGTAAAGAACATGTGAGTAAATAAAAATCAAAAGGAGACCAACCATGTTTGCGTGGCCATGTTTGAATGGCTCACTAGGTTTTCCATGAAAACAAGGGAACTAGCTGTCTCGGGATTAATTTCTAATAATCACCATTGTAGCTTCTACAGGGATTGTGGATTAGGATTGGCCAACCCTGCATGATCAGGGTCGGAGAGGCAGATCAACTGACCCTGCCTGGTTGATCTGTAGTCCTTCACTTTTGTGTGACACAATCCCATTCGGATTACTCACCACTTGCTCTCCAGTGGCGTGTGTTCCGAACCCAGGATGCCTCAAATGGAGAAATAGGATGAATGAGGAAGAACTTGCACGCAAGCTGCCTAGGTCCGCAAGAAACAGTCGAATCATTCCACCTCAATGGGGTTTGCCACGAGGTGCCATGCTTGTTGTGCAGGGATTCCTCCATTTCCCTCTAAAGTCTTTGGAACCTCCAAAGGTGGCACTGTCAACAGGGCTCCTGAAAAGATACATTTTGCCCAGTTAAAACATGGCTTTTTCCACCAAAATAAAGGGAAACCACCATTTACAAGGCAATGCTCAGGTGTATAATATCAGGATCCCTGTTCAATGGAAATCACAAGTATACTTGCAACCTATGGGGAAATCCAGTGACCCCCGTCATTCCAAGGGGCCGTCTATGTGTTTGCGGTAGCACAATTTTGCAGAGTCGGTTTCACCGGGGTTTCTACACAATCCGGCACACCATCCCGGCGCAACTCAACAGCAACTTGTTCAAACCAAGGGCGACAAAGCTGGGCAAGCTCAAGATTCTTTGGGGCAACCCCGCGTCTTGTTCGAACCAATTCTATCCGGCCTTACAGTCTGCTTCTCCCTGGCCAAAAGCCGTGTTCTCATGTTTACAAGGTTGTTGTTGGGAACGTTTTACATTTGAACCATTTTTGCGCAAATTGTGGTTTAGTGGTTGAACTCCAACCACTTAACTGCTCAAATCTAACAAATTGTGCTACCCTAACCTCACTTCCTGAGTTCATGAACTTTAAACTTTTTGGGAAGACCATTTTAGTGGGAAATATAAAGTTTGGACTTTTTGTTGGGCCATCCACTCGGCAAGTGAGTAACCCAACGTCAAGCAAGTTTAAAGCACTCAGAATTCAGCAGCCCGGTCGCGCCAAGGCCAGTGCCTTTTGGTGGCTGAGACATCAAAATGACCCTCCCCCCTCGGGAAAAAAAAAGAAGTCGCGGGACCTGCGCAAAAGGTCCTGGACGACCATGTTCCTGAGGGGAACCTGTGTTCAGGTTCCAGGTGTTTGGGAGGGTACCTGAGTTGAAATTACCTGAGACATCTTAAATTACCTGAGCTCAAATCCTCTTATGTTTAAGGCGTTGAAGGCTTCCCTGCGAAAAGGAATTAGCTACAGTTTTAGGTATGATGACATATTGTACTGATCAACTCCCAACATTCGCCAGTTCATTCTTACCATTACCCTCCCACTCAACATGAGTAGCGTTTTTTTTGCCCCTCCATTACGTATGTAAAGGTACGGAATTTATTCTTTGACATTCTGAAGAAATGCGCGCCGCGCCACAGTCGCGGAAGCCCGCGGAAGCTTTGCGGAAGGGTTTTTTCCGCGGAAGCTCGCGGAAGGGTTTACGGAGTATGTTTGTTTGTGCTGGCAGTGCAGCTTGTGGAACAAGCACATATGAAGCAGCTTTGTTTTGATTGAGAGACTGAGGCATGCGTTTAGAAGACTAGAGAGAACACGTGGATTGCATGATTGTGTGCCCACTTGGGTCGTCAACTAGGGTCTGCTTAGAAGTTTTTATGCAGGGTGAGGCTTCCCGGGGGGTTCTAGGATCTGTTCTGTCCTTCTTACAACCAGCTTTGAGAGGTGGAGGCGCATGTGCGGAGGCAGAAAGGAAGGTTCGACATGTTCTTGCAAGTGTGTAATGCTGGGCCAGCCTCGTTTTGTCAAAAGCAGGTTTATTGTTTCGGCAAAGGCATGAGGGCTTACACCTTCGTGGTCCACAAGGGGGTAGACCAATGTACTAGCATGGATTTGCAAGCGAAGTTCAAGTTGGTGGTTAGCTTGCGTGGAAAGACATGTTTTTCGGGGATGTTGTTTTCCTATGGAAACCCCTGTCACGCGCCCAAGCCACCAAACTGGACAAGGGCGCTCAACTCCGTGCCATTGGCTTGTGTGGCCGGCCGCATGCTGGCACAGGGCTGCGCAACAGGCATCGGGCCACCCACGCTCATGGAACATAGTTATGGAAGAGCAGGCAAGAATAGGGCCAATGAGGATTCTCCTTTCTTTAAACTGCGGAGGGTTTGCAACTGTAGGTTACCTCCCTAGATATGTCGCCAATGTCCGCGCCAGAGCCTGAAGTTCCAAAGCTGTGTGCTGTCCGAGGGTGTATTGGGAAGTTGCTGCGGAAGGAAGCCCAGGGCACCATCCAGTTGCACTGCCTGGCGGCAGCTCATCATCGTGGGTGGCTGGTCCAAGATGATCGTGAGCTCAAGTGGGAGTTCAGCACCCGCGGGAAGCGTTGGCTGAAAGGAGAGGCAGTCCAAGCTCAACGGGGCGGCGCTCCTTTGGAGGCGAGAGGGATGCGAAGTAGGTTTGTCCAGGACTGTCCATCGGGCCAAGCTTTGTTTTCTTATTGACGGGAAACAAATTTGGCTTCACCTCTTAGACAACAAGGGCGTTGTTTGGGCTGGGTCTCGAGCTTCCCACACAATGTTCGGTTGTCGTTTCCATGCTCCTGGAGGCCAAGCAGAAGCCTTCAGAGCCAGACCTTCTTTGTTCGCACTGGTTGCTCCGCCTGGAAACCCTCAGTCTGGAGCTTCCAGGCTCAGACAGCATCATCTTTTGTTTGGGCTGTCGCCTATGTGTGTGTGTGTGTGTGCGGGGCCGTTGCCCGGAATTGCGATCCTAGGTAGTGGAGGACCCAACTCTGGCGGCTCTTCAGGCGGACCCAGCCAACCCGCCAGCGGAGGTCGCAGAGACAACGAAGCCATTGGAGCCAGCGGAGCCAGCCGCGCAGCCCCTTCAAGCAGAACGCTCTTCCTCGGCATTACGCTCACACGCAGCGTCTTCTGCAGCGGCTGTTCCCAAGGTGGTGGAGAAGGAGGTCATGACCCCGGAGAAGGCCGCTGCTGCCGCGGTTGCAGAAGACACTCCGCCGGAGAAGCCGAAGCTCAACTTCGGTGGCAAGACGGAGCGCGTCGCGTGGCCACATGCCGCCTTTGTGAGGAAGCTCGCACTTGGGCGCAAAAGGGGTCTTTTTGTGAGTACTGCACGGGTGCGTTCCGTCGTGCTACAGGCCACCAGCGCCTTCACATACTCTTTGAAGACCAGCATTTGGCAGAGTCCGTGCGACAGGAGAGTAAGACAACGCGTGCTGAAGCTGAAAATGCTTTGCCGCCTAAGAAAGGGCTGGAAAAGAAGCTCGAGGAGTTCCTGCGCCGCTTCGAAGAGGTTCTGCCACAGTTGGAAGCAGCAGCTCGCCATTTTGAAAGTTTGTTGGAAGCCGGGCCGCCTGCGAAGAAGCGCAAGCATTGATCCTGGCTCATTTATAGATGTGCTTGTCTCAGGGTTTTATAGCCTTGTGGCTATGTTCTAGGGGATCTTCGGGGTACAAACTTGACAGGCCGTGGTGCGAGTCAAAAAAGGGACCCAGGATGTGCCAGCTAGCGGGGGAATCAAATACTTTTTTTTCTGCGGGCCCTTTCTTACTATGGGCAAGTTTAAAGGGGTGCAAGAAGGTAAGAAGAAGAGTTTGCCCCCCCTAGCTTGTCACATGCCGAACATCGTTCAAGCGAGCTGCAGCTTGCAAGCAGCGCAGCAAGTCCAGCATGGGCAGCAAGCCGCAGTGTCATTCGCAGGCTGACGCCATTTCCGGCTTTAGCTTTTCACCCCAACCGGGTGTAGCGGTGCAGCCTCACAAAGTCAAACGACAAAGGTGCCCCTGCATTGATCAGGTTTTAATAAGCACTTGCAACCTGCAACAACACGAGCGCCTGCAACAACACTTGCATGTTCAGCCTGTGTGTGTGTGTGCGTACGCGTGCGTGCGTGTGAAAGAGAGATGTGTGCGTGTGTGTGTGTGTGCGTTTCAGGTAGCAGTAGGGAACCCAAAAACAGAATCCCAAACGCGGATTTTCGCGGAAGCGCCGCGGAAGCTTCGCGGAAGGCCCGCGGAAGGGGCCCCTGACCTTTCCCGCCAGTTGCCCTTTCGTAGGCCGCCAACTCGACCACTCTCCACACAGCATGGGCGCAAAAGCGAAGCCATGGCGTGAGCTTGGCGCAAGGCAGCGCCGCATCGTCGTCAACGAAGCCTGCCGCCTCTTACTTCAACGCAGTCGTGACCCTGAGGATGTCCAAGAGATGTTCAACCTGGTGGTAGAGGAGCTTACGGCGAACTGCAGCGATCTCCGCTTGATCCTACAGCGGGATGCTGCCCAGGACACAGCCTGTGGCCTGCTACTAGAGCAGCTGGGGAAGCTACGAGCAACGGTCCGCGCCAGCACAAACCTTGACGTCCCCGTCATCACACTCACGCAGTTGGACTCTGCTGTCACCAAGGTACCCTTGCCGCAGGAGGCCCTCACCGCAGCCGGTTACACCCTGACCAAGCATAGCGCAGCTGCTGCCGCGGAAGGCCCAAAAAGTCAACAGCGCAAGCGAGGCCGCCGCACAAAGGTGAACAGCGTTGAGATGGTCAGCTTGGTCCGCCGTGTGCTTGCCCCACACTTGCAGGACACCGAGCGGGTAGCAGTCGTTGGCCGCGGTAGGAACAAGAAAATGGTCGTCGCCCAGCACTTGCGGAAGAAGCGCTGCCGAGTCTTCCTTGAGGAGCCAGAGCTTCACGAGTCCATGTCGTGGTCCACCTTCCACTCCATCATGAAGCGACACTTCCCTCACGTGAAGAACCCCATGAGGCAGACGGACATTTGCGAGCACTGCAAGCATTTGGAGCGTCACTTGCTCCCAGCAGCTCAGAGGGCCTTGGCCAAGCACAGGCTTGAGATCGAAGAGTTCTCCCAGCAGTATTTCCACCCCTTCGACAGCAGCCCTGCGACAATTGAGAACAAGGAGAAGACTGACAAGTTCCCCTTGTTGGCCACTTCTTTGGCATTCGTGCAGCAACAGAACTTCAACGCCGCCAACTCCAGAGAAAGGCAAGCGCTTGGGCTTGCCACCCGACTTGCTCTCCACAGTGCTGAAGCGTCTGCCATCCACACCCTGAAGGGGCATGTGGAGCTGTTGGAAGCTTACCGCTGGCACCAAACCTCTGCAAGGCGGCAAGAAGCAGCGTTGGAACAGCTTGCTTCAGGGGAGTCGCTGCCTGCTTCCGCTGTCCTCCTGCAGATGGATTTCAAGGAGAACGTGAGATACCCGCTCAGTCGCCCAGCTTGTCTTAGCAGTTTTCTCTTAGGCAAAGTAAGCTCAGTCTGTCATGTGGCATGTTGCGTGTTTCCAATGGCCTCCCTAGCAAGGTGCGCAAGAGACAGGAGACGAGTGGCACGCGCAAAACAAACTGTCTCTCACCGTGTTTGGGGTCTTTGCGCGGGTGCCCACACGCACGGGAACACACGTGGACGTGTACCTCCTCTTGGTCTCGGAAGTTTTGGACCATGACGCTCAGGCCGCCAACATGTTGGTGAATGAGGCCATTGCTCTTCTTCGACGTCATCCTGGCACACACTGGCCTGCAGTCAAAAAGCTCATCCTTGCCAGTGATGTCGGACCGCACTTTCGGTCGTACGAAAACGCGGCCCATTTCTTGTGCACGCTCGTGCCTTTGCTGCAAGTGCTTCTACGCTATTTAACGATTTGCCTAAGGTCGTTTTGCTTTGTCTCATAGTTGCTTCCCTGCCTCCTGTGACAGCGCTAGGTGAAAGTTCTCAACGTGGAAGTCGAAGTGCTCTACCTGGCTGAGCATCACGGAAAGGGAGCTTGCGATAGGCTCTTCGCTTGGACTCGCATGTGGGTGTCCCGGTTCATCCAGAAGCACCCTATTTACAACCTGCGGGATCTCACGCAGTGCTACCGAGAAGGCGCGGCTTCGAGGATAGCCGACGACCCGACCACGCCAGCCATCCTTGTCTCAAACTTCGACCCTGGCCGCTTCCGACCAACGAAGCGGAGCTTTCTGTCCGCCGCCACGCTCAAAATTTCACGAACCTACAGCCCGGTAGCCACCTTGGACCGTCATGCCGCGCCTGGTGTGCGCATCGTCAACCATGTTTTCACAGATTTGAGGCAAGGGTCGAGGGTCCTGCCCTGCCACGTGGATGAGGTGGTGTCGGAGGAGAAGGTGGAGTGGCGGCGCGGATACTACGACAAGCCGCGCTCCTGGGAGCAAGCAGGGCCGGAGCCAGGTGATGTTAACCACGTCACCCGGCGCTTTGCTGCTCAAAAGACCTTCCTCCCAGACAGAGAGGTTGCTCCAAAACGAAGCCTTGAAGAGAAAATGTCAGCCAAGGCCAAGCAGCTCAGCAAGCACGCTGCCAAGAAGAAGCGGCAGCTGGCGCACCTCAAACGTCGACTTCGTCCTGCCGAGGCTGAAGGCTCGTCCTCTTCTGCAAGTAGCAGCAGCAGTAGCTCCTCAACCTCCTCGGAGAAAGCCTAAGCGCTTTCCACCGCACGGTCGCGCTCTAGTGGAAAAGCGTCGCAGCCCGCGTCTTGCCGTGACGAACGCTTGCCAGTCGTCAGCAAAACCAACCGACAAGCAAGCAGGCAGGCAGGCGCGCAAGCAAGCGAGCAAGCAAGCAAGGGCCAGCAAGCAAGCGCGCAAGCAAACAAACAAACAAACAAACAAACAAGCAAACAAGCAAGTAAGCAAGCAAACGCGGAAGCAGCAGGTTCGAAAACTATGCTGAGACTGTGGTCGCGGAAGCGAAATGCTTCCGAATGTTGTAAACTCATGTCCGCGGAGGCTCGCGGAAGCGATTTTTCTAACAAAACGCTTCGCGGAAGGTACCCCTGCAGGCCGCGGAAGCGCCGCGGAAGGGTTGGCGGAAGGTCGAATAATTTCAAATGAATTAGAAGGGAATAAAAAATACCACTCACATGGAACTTGACATTTTCCGGGGTCCCTGCTTTCAATCCATGTAAGCCTTTTGAAAAGAAGCCCCTCCCTTTCAGGTTGCATGTGATATGCATATATATATATATATCGCTTCCCAACCGGACCCGGAGACACCAAACTCCGCAAGGCCTTCGCGGAGTATCGGGATCTGCAGAAGCGGCTGCAAAGCCCCTCGACTGCTCCGGCGGCTGGCGCCGCGGCTGGCGCCGGCGCCGCGAGCGCCGAAGGCGGGACGGTTGGGGGGGTGGGTGGTTTTGGACTAGGACCCCCAGCGATCGGTGCCCTTTCTCACCCGTTTCTTTTTTTTTGGTTGGGAGATTCCGGTGCCCCTACTAAAGTAGACTACAGCAAAAAGGGTACCCTTATTCTATCCTCTCTACTGGAGGACCTAGTGGAGGTGGGGGTGGAAAGGCGGCTGGGTGGTTGGAATATACCAATACATCTTCTTGAAATGAATGTTGCGAAATGATTAGACCCCGAGTGCCCGCATCATGCCGGGAGAAGGGGGGGAGGCTGGTGGCATTCTGAAATCCCGGTTTGTGGCGGTTTGATGGGTTTTTTGATTGGTCTTGTGGAAATTTGAAGCCCCTACCCCAAGAGAAAATGGGGATGTGCAAGTTCGTATGCATACATGACTCTACATTCGCATATACGTGTTCTTATGCGTACGGTGCCTGTGTACACGGGCATGCTTCGTTTCTTTTTGAGTTGGTGGCCCTTGGGTGGTTTCCCCGTGCCCTTTTACCCTTTTTTTTTTGGGAGATTCGGTTCCCCTACTAAAAAACAGACCAAAAAGAAAAGAAAAAAACAACGCGGTTACCAACTTCTCCTCACCTCTCAAATCTGGACCCAGCCCTGGTTGGCTTTGGGGTTCCTGTGCGTTTAGGGATCGACCCGAGGCCCGCGAGGGGACCGAGGCCCGGGAGCCCGGCGCTTGGGTTTGGCGGTGAAAACCATGGACCATGGAACCCGGGAGGAAACGGGGAGTGAATCCAAGAGAAGAAGCTTTTTGGACAGGAATAAGTTTGTTTTTGTTGCCTAAAAAGTTTGTTTCTTGATCCCTCTCTCCATGTTTGACATGCCAAGTTGTACCTTTGCATGTGCTGGGATCCGGTCCTTTTCAAGAAACTGAAGAATTTGATCGGTCAGTATGGGGTTTTACATCCATTGCATCCGCAGTGTGGCTGTTCAAGCGTGAAAATGTGCGAGCAGCGCACTTGGACGGTTTGTTGTTTCCTTTTGGGCCCCAAACCGGTAACCCTTGAATCTATAGGTTATCAGCCGTAGGCCCCTAGCTCTAAGCAATGGACGGTTCCCTTGTGCCAGTTGATGGATCCAGCATGCCTGTGGATGCTGCCGGAGCTAGCTCCGACAACGCCACCGGCGGCGGTGTGCGAATGTTCGCATCAAGCGCTAATGCGCAGTACAACCGCACCCTGATGAATTCCCTTCAACTGTACAATACCGCAATCTTTGCTTTTGGGAATGATGCAGCCATTAGGTCTGAAGCCGAAGCCCTGCATCAAGCAGCTGTTACGCATTTGCAAGCGGAAAACCGTGAGGAGCTCCGTGTCGCACAGAATCAGCTGCATGCACACTACGCTGAATGTGTGCAAGCCCAGTCGCATAGAATTCGTGAATACGAACAGCGAGTGAGCGATGAGTTCATTCAAGAAGTGAACTTCGCTGAAGCTAGGATAAGCCAAGTGTGTGAGGAAAATGCCCAAGCATTGCATGAAGCGGAAATGGGACACAAAACAACTGAGTTTAGGCAAGCCATCGAATCCACCCTGGCGGAAGCCCAGCAGCTCCTTCATGAGCAAGCTGCCAAGCACGCCGATGACACAGCCCGTGTTGAAGCGAAAAACGCCAGGATGATTGACATGATGGCCCACCAAAACGGGCTTCTGCAGGACGAGCTCGATGAGCTGAAGAGGTATCAGAAGCAACACGACCTCCGCGAGGATGGATCGAAGCCCGAAGGGGTAGGTGATACCCGAGAGGATTCACCAGAGTTGATGACCGACGACATGAAGTCAGCTCGGTCCCAAAGGTCAATGTTGGACCCGTTGTCCCATCCATTTCAATATGCAAAGGAAAAGTTGAGGTCGCTTGTTACCTATGACGGTTACGGGGTTGAATATACCCCTAGCGTGATTCCAACTGCCGAATGCGAAGCACTGCCCGCAGATGCTCGCGATCCGCAAGGACCAGCTGAAAAGCCATCAGGTAGCAGCCGATCCCCGGTGAAAACAAGTGCACCGGTCCCGCCCCTGCAATTCTCTCAGGGGCCAATGTCAAATGACCGCAAGCAGGGTGGTAAGCCTCCCGGCGGTCCGCCACCTGATGATGATGGCGATGGCGATGGTGATGAAGACGAAGGTGATGGCCTCGGGCCTAACCTCGGCCAAGAAGCATTCGCCAAAATGTTGATGAAGTTAGTAAAGGGCCACACGAACGATGAAAAGCCCAGAACCCGCGAAAGCGAGACGTTGCGATTCAAGGAGATGCCAACTCCTGAAACGTACCGTGAATGGAAGACATCGGTTCGTGAGGATGTCCGCGCTGCATCTGACCGTCCAGACGAGGCTTGGCCTTGGATCATGGAAGTCTGGTCCGATCGCGAGGACAAGAAGAAGCTGTTGGAGGAGCTCGGCGAACCGGGAAAATTCGTGACCCTAGACACGAAGATTCTCGCAGCGCTCACGCGTTCAGCGAAAGGCGATCTGGCTCAGCGAATCCTAACAGCGAAGGAAGAATGTGCCAAGGAGGGAAAGGCCATGAGAGGAAGGCAGGTCTTGTTTATGTTTGACCAATATTTCAAGACCAGTGAAGAAGCCGGAAACCTCTACTCCTTGGAGGACCTGTTGCGTGTCTCGCGACACGGCGAAGGAATCATTGATCTCAAACGTTTCCTAAACGCTTGGGATTCCGTGATCGCCGGCATGAAAAGGCCGCCGGAAGAAAAGGTGTTGAAAGACATCTTGCTTCGCCAAGTGAGAAGCTGCCATCTGTTGCGGTACGACATTGACACATATGATCGTTGCCGTGATGATGATCCCAACAAATCGTACGATTTCCTAATGCGTTGCATGAGGGATCTAATCGAGAGGGATAGGCTTCGCGAGAACCGAGAGCGCGTGTCCAAAGTCAACGCCAGTAAAGCCCCGACGCCCAAGGCTGGTGCTGCCGCCCCTGAAACGAGGGACCCCAAGAAAAAGAGCGCACCTAAGCCGAAGGACACCGAGGAAAAGTACTGCTTTGACTTCCAGAAGGGCTCGTGCACGAGGGGGGCAAACTGCCCTTACGCGCACCGCAAGGAGCCGCGAGGACGCTCCGCGACCCGTGGCAGGCCAAGTTCCCCCAAAGGCAGTAAAGGAGAGAAAGCACCGTGTTCTTTCTTTGCCCAAGGGAAGTGCACTAGAGGTGACAAATGCAAGTTTAGCCATGCCTCCACGGGCGGCAAATCTGCCGCCGCGGCATCGAGCAACGAGGCCAACGCAAATCCTGCGGCCAAGAAGCGTGCAAATTCACCTAAGCCTAAGCCCAAGGCCAAAGCCGCTGCAGTATGCACTAGGTACGCCATGTTTGCCAAGCCGATCAATCCGATTGGGGTGTCGTTTGACACCAATGCTCATGTGCATGAGATCCCCGCCGAAGGCGATGGTTTCAAGCTTGAGTACGAGGAACGGCAGTACAACAGGATGTTTCCAAATGCCAAGGACTGCCCCAGGCCGACCAAAGGGACGAACAAGGCAGCACGCAAGGCCGCGAACCAGTTGAATGCCGTAATCAAAGCCATTGAGAATGGAGCCCAGCCCGCTTGTGGTTTCATGTGCGATGTGGAATCCGATTCCATCTCAAGCCTGTCATGTGATGAGTGCCTGAGAATTGCCATGCCGCCTCACGATGTTCGCAAGGATGTCGAAGCGCCAAGGGCAGCCACCCTGCACCAAAGGGAAAGGACGTGTGGCTTATTGATTCCGGTAGTGAGCAGGACCTCATCAGCAAAGCTGCACTGAGGAATGCGTCCAAGGCAATCCGAAAACAGGCCCCACAGCCTATTCGCCTTGTGACTGCAAACGGAAACATCACTGCTTCCGAAATCGCCGACATCAATGTCGATGCATTGTGTGAGCCTGCTCAGCCTTACATCCTCGAGAGTTCTCCCGCAGTGCTGTCGCTGGGTGTGAAGTGTCTGGATCAAGGATATTCCTTCCATTGGGAATCCGGGAAGGCGCCAACCATGGTTCGCCCTGATGGTGCTCTGATCCAGCTCAAGGTTGACGGTCATGTGCCATACATGGATTCTAGCTGTGAAGCCGAGCCATCGTTGAGTGCAGTAGCAGCATCCAAGCCAGCGCCTGCACCGGTTCATGACGAAGGCATCGACGAAGGCGATGATCCCGACGACGAAGTTGAGCAGTTTGTGAGATCCCGCAAAGAGCAAGATCTGGTTGCCGAAGCGAGCACCAAAGAGCACTTGTTTGCACACTATCCGAAGAATCCCTTTTGCCGAACTTGCCAACGTGCCAAGATGCTTGCCCCATATGCAAGATCGAAGGGCGGGCAGGGAAGGCTCGAGACGAAAGAGTTTGGAGATCACATCATTGCTGATCATGTGATTCTCAAGGCCAACATCGAGCAAGGTATCAAAGGTGAATGGTGTGCTCTTGTGATCAAGGACGTGCATACGCAGTTCAGGTATGTTTATCCGTCGACCAGCAAAAGCACGGAGCAATCCGTTGCAGGGATCCAGCATTTCATTTCCGGAAGGGATGAGGTTGAGGTTCTCTACACCGATAACTCCCGGGAATTGAAAGCCGCTATAGAGCAGTTGGGGTACCGTCATCAGACCTCCATTGAATATGTTGATTCTTCCAAATCTTTCGTAGAAAGGGAGATCAGACATCTGTTGGAGGGAGCACGTGCGAATCTTGTTCAGTCAGGGTTTCCACTGTCGATGTGGCCATTTGCAATCCAGCACAATGCAGTTGCGACCAACATCCTGCCACAGTTGAATGGAAACGATTCGAAGCTGAGATACCTTTCGGAGCAAAGGTACTGTTCTGGAACAACCCTGCACGAGCCGACAATCAGGCAGGCAAGACTTCGCCAACATCAAATGAAGGCGTGTTTCTCGGGTACCACATTCAGCCTGGGTTCGCATGGAAAGGTGAGTTCCTTGTTGCAAAACTAGAAGGGCTCGATTACCATATCGAACATGCGTCCCTCACGGTACAGCGAACAAAGCGCATTGAGCTTCCGACTGATGAGTTCATCTTCCCGATGAGGTTGTTGAAAGACCCTGCATCTCATCCACCTGTTGCCAATGCTAGGACACGAGATGATCCTGTGCCGTTGGAGTGTGGGCAAGCCCGCATCGAGGAACCCGCCGCATCGGAGAAATCCGAAGCGAAGATCAAGCCTGTCGTGCCTGACAAAGGCGGTGCATTCGACCCAAGCATAATGCCTGATGGGTCACCAGTACCCGATGGCTATGTGTGGGATGGGGTTCGGCTCGTCCGTAGGAAGGCTGGATCCAAAAGGCCTCCCGATATCCCGTTCGACATGTGGGTCATGCTCGGCAGCCAGGACCGAAAGGCCCTAACCCAGCAGTATGAAGATCAGCTCCGTGCAGATGCCAAGAAGGCTGTGCTCGAGACAGCAGTCTCATCGGAGGCCAGATCCGAGCACCCCGAAGCCGCATCGAGTGCAAAGCCGACCAGCGCCGCCCGCGAGGGCGAGCCGACATTGCCTGTGATCCGGCACGCGCCTGCGATGTCCGTTCTTCCGGAACGGGACAAGTCATCAAAGGAGCCGCATCGCCCGCAATTGCGTGAGTTGGTCAAAGAGCGAATCAAGAAAGTTGAATTTGATGTTGCTCTTGAACTGTTCAGTGCAGTCGTTGCTAGGC